CAAGGTGTGTGAGGGAGGGGGGACACTGCGTCTGGGGGGACAGTCATTATACCCAGACACCCCCCGGGCAGCGCAGGGCAAGGTGTGAGGGAGGGGGGACACACTGCGTCTGGGGGGCACAGTCATTATACCAAGAGACCCCCCAGGCAGCGCAGGGCAAGGTGTGAGGGAGGGGGACACACTGCGTCTGGGGGGACAGTCATACCCAGACACCCCCCGGGCAGCGCAGGGCAAGGTGTGAGGGAGGGGGACACACTGCGTCTGGGGGGACAGTCATTATACCCCCCCCAGGCAGCGCGGGGCAAGGTGTGAGGGGAGACACGCACTCTGCGTCTAGGGGTCAATCATTACACCCCCCGGGCAGTGAGGGAGGGGGACACACTGCGTCTGGGGGGGACAGTCATTATACCCAGACACCCCCCGTGCAGCGCGGGGCAAGGTGTGAGGGAATGGGGACACACTGCGTCTGAGGGGACAGTCATTACACCCAGACACACCCCGAACAGCGAGTGGGGGAGGGGGAACGACATTGCATCTGAGGGGACAGTCATTACACCCAGACATCCCCGGGAAGCGCGGGGCAAGGTGTGAGGGAAGGGGAACCCCTGCGTCTGGGGGGACCGTCATTACACCCAGACACCCCTGGCCACCATGTTACCCATTCATAAACCAAGACTTAATGTACTAATGACTTAGCGCTCTCCGTGAAATCCCGGCGGTAAAGCTGTAATGCGGGAATAGGTATGTGGCCCGTGCGAGACTGCAGTGACGTGTCAATTGATATACTGCAGGTATTCCCATGTGACTAGTGTTATTCTGCAGATTTGTCCATGTGGCCAGCATCTTGCTGTAGGTCTGTCTATATGGCTAGTGCTATACTGCAGGTTTGCACATATGGCTAGCACCTTGTAGTGCTATCTATTTGGCTAGTGTTATTCTTCAGATTTAAAACAAATGTGGATTCTATATGTTTTATTGCCTGCATTATACTGCAGGCTTGTTCATGTGACTAGAATTATACTGCAGTTGTGCCCATGTGGCTAGTGTTATACTGCGGGTTTGCCCATGTCCCTAGCACCTTGTTGCAGGTCTGCCCATATGGTTTGTGCTGTGTTGCTGGTCTCTCCATCTTGCAAGCACCATGCTGCATGCTGTCTGCCCCTGTGGCAAGCACCATGCTGCGGATTGTGTCCACCCCTGTGGCTTGCACCATGCTGTGGGTTTGGCCCTGTGGCTAGCACTATGTTGCAGAATTCAGCATGTGTCAACTCCTCGGTCATTAAGGGCTTGCAGTAAATCAGAATAAATACAGGTCAACTTGTGGTTGTCGGCTATATATAAAGAAACCCACACTGCCTTTCATTTTAGTAAAAGCAAGTAATAATTTCTAACTACTTGATTTTTATTTTCTATATATAATAAAAATGTCTTAGTTGTGAGTACACTCTGCTCGGCTTTGTGTCTTTCTAAATTTGCTTCTCTAGTATTGCATAGCATTTTTAGCAGAGCAGTTAGTCATTTTAGTGTGTGTGTGTGTGTGTAATGTTAACCTGGAGGTGAGGTGCACTGGTAACGAGTTGCCACTTGGGGAGCTCACCATTCAAAAAAAAAAACAGCCGTGCTGCTGGCTGGGCAGGAAATACTATAAAAGCTGCAAGGCTTGGGGAGAGCCACTTTTTATATGCTGCTGAATTTAGTGTCTAACATACTTGGAGGGGGATGCTGGTGAGGTCATATGAGGATACCAAGTTATAGAAAACTGAAGACATTATGAAAAGGATGGAATGCGTCTTGTAACTTGCTCACTGCTTCAAAGTCTGCACTCTGAACATCCATGTGGATTTCTCACAAAGGATCACCTTATATATTATGCTTAACCCCCCAACCCCCCCCCAAAAAATGCTCACTGCTTAATTAAATCATCACATGTATTTTCAAGCCTCTGAAACACTAATGTACAGCTAAAAGAAAAATAGATTCTGTGATGGCGAATAAAGCCCATATAAGTGAGTATTGATAAACGATTTCAAGGAAAAAAAGACATTTGAAAGGCTTCATCTTATATATGAAAAAGCAATGAATGTGTTTGTTTGGATGTGTGTGTATGTAATTGAATGTGTAAATATAAAGTTGAAAACACTTGAATAAGCATTTTGGATGCTGCAGGGCGGGTCTTCATCAAACCCATATGCAATACAGCTAAAGATATATTAACCCATTTACAACAAGGATTTAGGAAAAACCTAAAACCTTGTAATTTATTATACATTAATGTAATGTACCTCATACATTAGTTGTTATATCTGAGTCTATTTTATTGAGAAAAAGATATACAGGGAGTGTAGAATTATTAGGCAAGTTGTATTTTTGAGGATTAATTTTATTATTGAACAACAACCATGTTCTCAATGAACCCAAAAAACTCATTAATATCAAAGCTGAATATTTTTGGAAGTAGTTTTTAGTTTGTTTTTAGTTTTAGCTATGTTAGGGGGATATCTGTGTGTGCAGGTGACTATTACTGTGCATAATTATTAGGCAACTTAACAAAAACAAATATATACCCATTTCAATTATTTATTATTACCAGTGAAACCAATATAACATCTCAACATTCAAAAATATACATTTCTGACATTCAAAAACAAAACAAAAACAAATCAGTGACCAATATAGCCACCTTTCTTTGCAAGGACACTCAAAAAGCCTGCCATCCATGGATTCTGTCAGTGTTTTGATCTGTTCACCATCAACATTGCGTGCAGCAGCAACCACAGCCTCCCAGACACTGTTCAGAGGTGTACTGTTTTCCCTCCTTGTAAATCTCACATTTGATGATGGACCACAGGTTCTCAATGGGGTTCAGATCAGGTGAACAAGGAGGCCATGTCATTAGATTTTCTTCTTTTATACCCTTTCTTGCCAGCCACGCTGTGGAGCACTTGGACGCGTGTGATGGAGCATTGTCCTGCATGAAAATCATGTTCTTGAAGGATGCAGACTTCTTCCTGTACCACTGCTTGAAGAAGGTGTCTTCCAGGAACTGGCAGTAGGACTGGGAGTTGAGCTTGACTCCATCCTCAACCCGAAAAGGCCCCACAAGCTCATCTTTGATGATACCAGCCCAAACCAGTACTCACCTCCACCTTGCTGGCGTCTGAGTCGGACTGGAGCTCTCTGCCCTTTACCAATCCAGCCACGGGCCCATCCATCTGGCCCATCAAGACTCACTCTCATTTCATCAGTCCATAAAACCTTAGAAAAATCAGTCTTGAGATATTTCTTGGCCCAGTCTTGACGTTTCAGCTTGTGTGTCTTGTTCAGTGGTGGTCGTCTTTCAGCCTTTCTTACCTTGGCCATGTCTCTGAGTATTGCACACCTTGTGCTTTTGGGCACTCCAGTGATGTTGCAGCTCTGAAATATGGCCAAACTGGTGGCAAGTGGCATCGTGGCAGCTGCACGCTTGACTTTTCTCAGTTCATGGGCAGTTATTTTGCGCCTTGGTTTTTCCACACGCTTCTTGCGACCCTGTTGACTATTTTGAATGAAACGCTTGATTGTTCGATGATCACGCTTCAGAAGCTTTGCAATTTTAAGAGTGCTGCATCCCTCTGCAAGATATCTCACTATTTTTGACTTTTCTGAGCCTGTCAAGTCCTTCTTTTGACCCATTTTGCAAAGGAAAGGAAGTTGCCTAATAATTATGCACACCTGATATAGGGTGTTGATGTCATTAGACCACACCCCTTCTCATTACAGAGATGCACATCACCTAATATGCTTAATTGGTGGTAGGCTTTCGAGCCTATACAGCTTGGAGTAAGACAACATGCATAAAGAGGATGATGTGGTCAAAATACTCATTTGCCTAATAATTCTGCACTCCCTGTATACAGGTATAGGGACACATGCAATTACAATGAAAGATGTATACACAGGAATCAGAACATACAAACACCCATTTTATGTAAGTACTGTATGTGGGTAAAACTACTATAAGAAAAGAAAAAACAGGGGAGAGCGTGCAAGCAAAACAACGAAAGTCTGCAGAGAATGCATACATTCCAAGATGAAACTAGATCTCATTAAAGGACCACTATAGTGCCAGGAAAACATACTCGTTTTCCTGGCACTATAGTGCCCCGAGGGTGCCCCCACCCTCAGGGACCCCCTCGCGCCCGGCTCTGGGGAGAGGAAAGGTGTTAAAACGTACCTTTCTCCAGCGCCAGGCGGGGAGCTCTCTGCCTCCGATCCTCCTCCTCTCCTCCCTTTCGGCTGAATGCGCACGCGCGGCAAGAGCTGCGAGCGCATTCAGCCAGTCTCATAGGACGCTTGCGTGCTCTCACTGTGATTTTTCACAGTGATAATCACGCTAGCGGCTGTCTCATTGAGGGCTGGATTAACCCATTTATAAACATAGTTTCTCTGAAACTTTTAGGTTTATAAAAAAGAAATGGGTTAACCCTAGCTGGACCTGGCACCCAGACCACTTCATTCAGCTGAAGTGGTCTGGGTGCCTAGAGTGGTCCTTTAAGTGAAATATATTGGCCTATCCTAGATATCTGCACATTTTTAATACAGTTTGCTTCTTGATGCCCTTGATGGATTATTTGGCTCTATGAGTAAATGCTGTTATGGCCCAAAATGCTTTAGACAGCTGTAGAAATACTTTTATTTTTTTGGTTCTGTGTCTCACCATCCTGTCACCCCTCCCGCTGTGTTTTTGGATTTAATGGCATAATGGAACTACATTTTTTGATCATACACTGTGTCTTGAAGACTCTTTGGGTAATCACCTTGTGTTGGTTAGATTTGGTGCCTCTTTATTAGTCATTATGCTCTAGAAGCACAAAGTAGATAAAGATGCTTATTTGCCCCTGTGCTAAGGACGTGTGATAAGGACAGAATTGTCCAGTAGATAGCAACCCATGAAACTTTACAATATAATGTAAAAGAGAGAGTAAAAAAAAGTCTTTATAGGCCAGATGCTATATGTAGTTTGCACAAACAATGGACTGTAATTTCAGTGGGGTAACCAACAGACTAATAAAAAAAAAAGAAAAAACAACAACATACACATGCAAGCACAAGAAATAAGTATCTGTTAAGCAGAATGTGCTGACCCGTGTTGAACATGATTTTTATGTTTCAAGAACATTTTCATGCATAGTGATATTTTTCAACGTCAAAATGTTGTGACTCAGCAGTGCATCTAGGCTTTGAACAGCAGCATTGAGCATGGAGCACTGCTAGAGATCCAGACTCAACATCTGACCATGGACTACCACAGTTAGAAGGTAGTCTATTTTTTCCCCAATCAAGATGCTGTGTGTCTGTGCAGAAGATACTAACGGTCATGAGAAGGGAATTAATTTATTGGTCATACATGCCTGTTATGGCATATTTCAGCTTGGTAAAGGCTGCAATGTTGTCAGCTGTCTTTCCGCTGATGGACAATGTAAATAAACAGGGCACACTACGGTCCAAGTTATAATTGTGGTTCATTAATGCAGGTTCGAAATTGGAATAATTGTAAATCAAGTATTACAAAACGTTGATCTCTTTCTCGGTCCTAAGCTTTAATTCAGAGAATAACACATGTGAATGCTGGTCTTTCTAAGGATCTGCACTCGTATGCAGGCATAATCCTGATGCTGATAGATTGCTGTGAGTGTGCGCCATAGGGCCAGTTTGAGGTGGCATACAAGATGGATGTTGGAATGACCCTGTACCGTAGCTCATGCTGTGTGTTCATGTATTATTGTAGCTGCAGTTTGAAAAGAGTAATGGGCATATCTGTAGGTTAATTGTAGGCTATTATCCTTGTGAAAATAATGTCAGCGCCGTCACAGAAGTGTTCTGCCTCAGCATCTCCCACTCACTGCAATTGCTCTTTCTTGGTAGTCACTCATCAGAGGTCTAGCTCACAGTGCTTTCTCTTATGTTTCAGCAGTTTCTTGCAAGTTGTGTATCTCTACGTTTCCTCTATTCGCCTCTTGAAGTCCATGAGGATGATGCTTCTAGTTTTGCTGAAAATTGAACTTTGCATGTTTTATGTGAAAAGTGCTGCATGCTATCAGATTATTTTATTTGATATTAAAAGCATGGCATTAGCATTTTCCAAGCTTTTTTTCTTTTTCTTTTTTAAAACCTTGTTGATTTAGCCGCTAATTTGCAGCTTTAAGCAAAA